GAATTTGAAGGACTATAAATAATATCACTCTACAATAACCATATAGTTTTTGGATCTTTTTCAATTGTCTAGAGTTTTATTACCCATTCATGTTAAGGATTATTGTTTATAAAAATGTTACTGAGAATGCTCATTTCTCAAGGTTATTGTTGAACGAATTATTTTTTTCAATTTTTTTACAAAATTTCACAAAATATCTTTTCATTTTATTTGTTTAAAAAGATAATTTTGAATGGTTTTACACTAGTAATTTTTTGGGTCCTTTATAGCTTGCTGTTCGGTGTGAGCCAAGGCTCCGTGTTGAAGACCGTACTTTGACCTATAATGGTTTACTTTTATAAATTTTGACTTGGATGGAGAGTTGTCTCATTGGCACTGATACCACATCTTCTTATATCTAATTACAATAACATGTGAAAACCGCTTTGATATATTTCTTGTGTATGTGAAAAAAGACCTTTATGCTGGTACCACATCTCTCAAATTAACAGTGATAACTAGTGGGTAGCTTGTGGGTAACATTTAAGAATTCATTAATTTATAGCAATTGGTCAAACCAGATTAAATCTGACCATTGGCAACAGATATGTATCCTTCTTCTGATCAACAGACCAAATCAGTAAAATAAACCATTTATATTTTATATCTATTTACACTGTTTTGTTTGGTTTCATTGACCTCTTCCACACATCTTTTACCTATAGATGTATATAAGATGTATAGAGAGCTTAACTAAATATACCCCACATATGTCAAGAAGATATGACTTTTAGTTGCTAAGAAAAATGTGATGATAAATTTACATATATAGACAGGTTTTTCCGATTATCTGCCTTAGTTTGTGACGCGACTCCTAGGCGTCGTCGTAGTACGATCGCCATTACAACCGTGAAAAAATATAAACAAGATATAGATCTATATGCCCTGACCGCATATAATTAAATATAAACACACGAATGTGAAGTCGTACTTGACCTCGGCAAAATTATATGTGCTATAAATAATAAAGTAATTAGATAAGGATTCTAAGTGTATTGCAGGCCAGGTGTCGTCTCCTTAAAATATAACTGTATTTGATATGTTACGCGCGGGACATAATAAATTTTATACGAATACTAATCCCAGGTTACATGTCGATTATAATCATTTGGTAATCATAATATTAATAATTATAACGCATACATAAATAAAAAAATAAATAGTCTTGACCGGTAGAATGTGCATGATATATCAGAAAAACCAGCTAGGGTACGTGCAATTTTATCAAATCATAGAAATTTCTGTGGTCAGACCTATAATGAGACAGTCCTAAAATTTAACAATCCACTAATCAGACGGTCCTACAGAGACGAGAGTTTTGTGCTTTTTGCTTGACTCACGTATGTGCTCAAAATTGAGTGACATTTTCGTATTACTTTGGTGTCCGCATGAATTGCGCTATATGCTATCGATGCGTCGGGCCATATGTAGATATAACTTTGCGATTAGAATATGGGCTTAAGTTTTGAACTTTCACGGCCCATGTATTCCTATAGTTATTATGTGTTCGATTCCAATTTCTTTTGCAGAAAATTACTCGACATACAACTACTATAGTATGTATAGTATATGACATCATGATCCATCCCGTGCTTAATATAACTTAATGCCATTAAACCACCAAAGACTCCAACATGTAAATTCAAAGCGATGATTAGTTATGTTTTAGAAGCGTCATTTAGTGTTTTGCCAACTCCCTTCCCAACCACTCCAAAACAGAGGTCTCGTAGATTTTCATCCTTAATCCGTATTAGACTCTTATATAAGTCCCCGATGTATATAATACAGTGAAATACAGTATTACAATATAACATTAGGGGTGTATATCGGACCGTCGGACTACTGAACTGTCGGAATTTCGGGTTGTCGGATTATAGCTACGCTTTCGTAGGTTCTAGTAAACTATTTGATTACCAAGAGTTAGACCTTTGAACAATCCTTTCTAATGTATAAAGTTTTAGAATTCATGCACAGAGTTATCTACTGAGGAAAGTTCAAATCAACGAAGTAACTGTATACGTCTTATAAAGAAAATAAAGTGAATATATACTATAAGCACACAGACCTACATACTAATATAAAACCTTTAAGTTTTTCAGCAAGAACTTCACCCAGGAATAAAATATTTTACAAGCCTTACTTTTCGAAATATTAAAGCGCCGTTCCAAATAACCAAATATCAAACTAAGTGTTAACCTCATCAGTACGATCGAGCAACAGCTGATCTGCAATATCGTAGTTGAAAATTAAATTGTGTAGTAATTCCACTAAAGTAAAGAAAACTTAGTTACATAAGTATACAATAAGGCGTTACTGTCATTCATAACATTTATTAAACTGCTGAGGTCCCCCCCTTTATTTAAAGAGAACTCCTTACTCCTCTGTTAACCATATTTTTGTCTGAGTTAATATTGTCGGAATGTCTGTCCATTTTGCAGCATAAAGATACTATAGAAGTCGTCATGAATGAAAAAAGTTCGTCTCTTCACACTGGGTTGTTTTGCTTGCAATTATAACTACATGTAGCCTAGGGGTAGGTTTCATTGTTATTAGCTTCATTTATGGTTAATCCAGACATTTTACCGCTTCCACTACAAAAGTTTGGGGGCACGCGCCCTCCCCCCTTTTTTTCAAAATCCTTCATACGCATCTGATGTCGCGGTGGATCTTCTATACAAAAAGAGGCAGATGCATGCACTGTAGTCATCGGATTAAATTTTATAGATTATATTACAGTCGTTTTACAACGTGTAAACATTCTTCGGCCAGTGTTATTTTACTTTCATAACAATTTTTATTAAAAAAAAAAAAACGGATTGTGTGCATCATCCAAAAAAAAAATGTCCGGACAATACAAAAACCTGTTTATGCAAAGTTTTTTTTTATGTTTATACGGCTTTGATCCACTCAGGTGTGTTGGCTCGTCTGAAGGCATCGCATAAGACGTATATGGAATCAAACGAGGGCAGTCATTGTGCAACTCGTTGTGTAATTCGCATATTGATTTTTTCCACACCTGAAGTTTTTTACGATTATTTGTACAACTATTAACTGCATAAGAAATTCTTCCATGTTTTTTATAACTTTCGGCTGCATCCATAGTAAAATAAATCAGAAAATGAAAGAAATACAAATGTAAACAGAAAATCGACAATGTTTTGATCAATATACGTGCGTTATTTTTCACGGTTGTAATGGCGGATCGGTCACGTGAGAGGTTAATGGATGCGCCCATGTTTTCTAGGTCAATTACAGATAAACCCGTCTATATATATGTACATTTTAAAGGTACAATTAAGTTTTCAGGAAACAGGTAGAACATCGAAGGAACATGTCATACTGTATGGCATAACTAGTGCTTATTGCTAAGAATCTAGGACTTCTAGCTATGTGGCAGAAATGTATCACAGACAGACAGACAAATTTAAACCAGTATATGCCCTCCATTGGAGCAGGGATATAAGAATAAAACATTCTTCTTTTATGTTATGTATATAAGTCTACATAAACTAGTTCTAATTAGCATCTAAAAGACTTAACAATTAAAACACTCATGTTAAGGACTATTGTTTAAGAAAATCTGATTAGGACAAGAAGTTTAAAATTCTGGAGGTATTCCAAATGGTCAATTGACTATGTTATATTAGGTTAAATAAGTAGTAACACAGAGGTGTATTTAACCAGGTGTACAATCATTATAGGGTAACTTGCCCTTGCACAACTTATGCCATGTGTACTCCTTGTACCTTTTATTTGAGCTAAGTAGTATCCTAAAAGGTTCAGAATTCCTCAAAAACTACCATCAGAAGTAAATAGATGTCCCAGATACCATCCAACTGTTCTAAACTAATCATAAAATATACATCATGTGCATTGTATTTAAGTTGCTGCTCTGAATTTGACCTTTAGACAGACAATCTTGCCCTAGAGCCAAATACTTGCCAATTATATGTCTAAGCGACGAACTTGAAATTAAATTCATCATGAAAATGATATCATAATTTAAGTAACTTTAACAAACTTCATTTGTCATGGGAAGAAAATAATTTCCAAGTTTGGACCCCATTCATACCTGTCCATGAGTCAGATGTCAAAACTACCACTCAATGGCAACAAAAAAGCCATAAAAAACGCATGGAAAAGAGGGAATTTTTAAACAGAAGTTGACAAACAAAAAAAACAAAAAAACATAATTACTGCATTGTATATTACCTTGTTAAGTTCTAATAACCAAATTCACATTTTTCTTGATGATGATGATGGATAGCTTTTGAACGTCCAGCCGCATATTAATATGCATATTCAGGACGTGAACATGTTAATGTAATATATATGAATATGAACCTTGCTTTGTACTAGACCGACACGCTGAGCCAGATTTTTAACGTGCTAGTTCATAAGGTAACAGTCCCCAGGAAGACATATCTCCTTAACTGGACACAATATTCTGACGCGGAGCTGTCCAGTCTTTGCTCTTTCTCCTTAATGCCGCTGCTTAGCAGAGAAGCAGCAAATACTAATTTCAAAGTCTTTGGTTTGACCTTGCCTGGGTTATAACCCATGACCTCCTGCACTCGGGGCAAACACGCTACGAGACCACCAAGGCAGATTTTTCTTAAAAACAATGTAACAATATCACAATATATAACATGGACCTATGGGCCAGATACCCTACAGGTCAGGGAAGTTAGATTTTGGAAGGACAGCTAACCGTTTGTTGTCCTCTTGTATCTTTTTAAAGTAAGATTTTGAAAGAATATCTAACCTTTTATTATCCTCTTGTTTCAAGGAAAGTAAGATTTTGGAAGGACATCTAACCTTTTGTTGTCCTCATGTATCAAGGGAAGTAAGATTTTGGAAGGATATCTAACCTTTTGTTGTCCTCTTGTATCAAGGGAAGTAAGATTTTGGAAGGATATCTAAAAAATTTTGTACTTTTCTCTAATTCTTATACAACTCACCTATCTTCTAGTTTCTTTGCAAAACCAAAATCTGTAATCTTTAAATGACCTTCTCTATCTAATAATAAATTTTCTGGTTTCAAATCCCTATACACAATGTTCTTTGTATGTAAATAGTCTAATGCTGACACAATTTCACATGCATAAAAGTTTGACCATGAATTATTAAAACGTCCATAGTTCCTGAGATATGAAAACAGCTCTCCTCCTGGCACAAACTCCAAGAGCATGTATAGATATGTGCTATCATGATATGCCCACAGCCTAAAAAATAATTTACAAATAAATATATATAAATAAATGCAAGACTTGAAAAACAACAATTTACAAGTTTAATACTTTCCGATCCAAATTTCTACCACTGGTGGTGTCTATTGGATCATTTTCCTTGTCAAATAGAACATGCTATATAGTATCAGGATAATGTTTTTAGTTTATATTGATGTTGTTATGTCAGGTGTCTGTCTTGAAAAAAACTTTTCCTGTTAATCAACATTGCAACCTGATTTGGTAAGTGATGTATGCAATAACAGCATATATCATGTATATGATGTCAACCATAGACAGGAATCCCTGATTTTGAAAAAAGGGGGCGCCCCAAAACTAAGCAATTTTAGGAGTAGAATATGTGAAAAGTCTATGCCTTAACCATATACATGTATGTAGCTCCATAAGAGGGGCCTGGGCCTCCTGACCACCCCTCCTAAAGTGGGCTCAGAACCAAATTTTTTATTGAAGCTGAAATTTCTACTAAGTCTGAAGACTTTCTCAAACATCTTCCAGAAAACTTTTCAGTAACATTTGTTTTTTACGAAGACAGCCTATCACTCAATCCCAAACCTGGAGCGCCAGAGATTGTTTACTCAAGGTTTCTTTACTTTAGATTGGTTGCCTCCCAAGGCTGACCAGTGTGAATATACCTGGATTTCATATTAAGAGTTATGCACTCCTAGATAAATTGATAACCCTTATCTGTATGGCTACTTGCACATGCTAGGGCAAGATTGATAAAGCTATGACATGTCAAAATGCATGTGGGCCTACAAACTTCATCTCGAGGGTCCTTGCTACTACGAGATCCTCTACAGTTTTGCCTAATATTACTAGACCCTAGTTTCTGTGTGCTGTCATGGGGAGGCACTGTAGAAGACTTGATAATGAAAAGGATATGTACTGGCAGGAAAGACTAATACTCTCGACCATCTTATAACTCCAAAGTAGGCTAGCCAGTGGCATTGACCCCACCATACTAGACCCATACATATACAAATGGTACTGGCAGGAAAGACTAATGCTCTCGGCCATCTTATAACTCCAAAGTAGGCTAGCCAGTGGCGATGACCCCACCATACTAGACCCATACACATATATATGGTAAAACCACCAACACTTTTTCAAACCTTTTTGAACACTCACCAGCAACAGTAGTAAGTTGTTAGTGTATATTCAAACTAAATTTGTGGCGAAGGGGAGTAAATTGGGAAAAGAAGCAGACTTTCAAATAGAATATGACCCAGTTGTTTAAACAGACAAAATTTCTCTTGACGAGAGGGTATTTTGCCATTGAACAGATGTTTAGTAAAATTACAATCTTAAATCTGTCTGTAATAAAATATTATCAGATGTTATGTAACCAAGGAAATTAGTAACATGGTACCGATTCCTGAGCTTCAGAGGGTCAACATCTGTTTCTACAGATCTATTTATAGTAACAGGTGATCAAACAAATACTACCACCTGATCAATATTTAGATAACACAGAAAATACTCTCTTTGTCAGAAGTATCTTATTAATGCTCTTGTTTTAGTATTTAATTTATTACTATTTTACACACTTATCAGTCATATAATTTCACAACTAATGGTTCAAAGTAATCCACCCTTTAGCAATTATTGAATAAAATGAAATATGATGTGTTTCGTATAAAGTTTAAATTAAGTATCCTATAGTCGTAATTAAAGACATGTCAGTAATGTTTAACAAATAATCAAAATAAGTTGAAATTAGAAACTGCACTTCCAATATGCACAGATAAATGTAGACCACATGTTTTTTCCTTGAATTATAACATCTTAAGTCAAATGTTAAAACAGTCAAAATGTTAAAACAGTCAAAATGAATCCAGGTTTGAATGTTCCATGCAAACAGACCAAAATCTTTAATTTATTACACTCAGCTATAACAATTTCTGTGTGTGCAAAAGAGGGGTAGCTGCAATCAATATATTTTGATAAGGTCTTAAAATATAAGCCTCCATACAAAAGATAGTAAAGAAATAGATATATCCATATCAAATCTTGTCCTTGTTGGTTTTCAAACTTTAATACGACCCCAACACATATAAATTGGAATGACTTAATGTGAATTACTTAACTCATGGTGATGCTGATTTCCTGTGGACCATTAATATCATTACTATCAATCTAAAACCTTATATCAAACTTAACATTAACAGTACAAATAACAGTACCATTAACAGTACCATTAACAGTACCATTATCAGTACCATTAACAGTACCATTATCAGTTCCATTAACAGTACCATTATCAGTTCCATTATCAGTACCATTATCAGTACCATTAACAGTACCATTATCAGTACCATTAACAGTACCATTATCAGTACCATTATCAGTACCATTAACAGTACCATTAACAATACCATTAACAGTACCATTAACAGTACCATTATCAGTACCATTAACAGTACCATTATCAGTACCATTATCAGTACCATTAACAGTTCCATTATCAGTACCATTATCAGTACCATTAACAGTACCATTATCAGTACCATTAACAGTACCATTATCAGTACCATTATCAGTACCATTAACAGTACCATTATCAGTACCATTATCAGTACCATTAACAGTTCCATTATCAGTACCATTAACAGTACCATTAACAGTACCATTATCAGTACCATTATCAGTTCCATTATCAGTACCATTATCAGTACCATTAACAGTACCATTAACAGTAACATGCATAAACTGTAGGTAGAGGAAACAATCTCTGTACAAATACTTAAAATGTAAACAGTAATTCATGTCTGAATATCTGAAGATCCAAAACAATAACTACATTGTACTTGTTGTTTTTTGTGTGTTATTGGGTTGCTGTCTCATAGACCAATACCCAACATATAATCTTATTGATAAACATACCATACAACTACAAGACCATACGAAAAAGTTCATAAAAATACCATACAACTACAAGATGATCTGAAGAAGTTCATAAAAATAGATTATATGATGCTGGTGAAATAATTAGGAGTGTATGATGTATTTTCCAGTACATTAGATGACTTATTAAATTTGAGAATGATGAATATTGATCCAATCTTACATTCCATTATCAAAATTTAACCCAAAGCAATTATCATTCTTGGTAAAAGAGGTTATTCTCTCAGACTCCTACATCATAACATATTTGTAGATTTTTATTTTAACATCAAAAAGTTTATTAAAATGACGAAAACTAAAAGAAAAATACTGGAAATGTTTGTCTTTTTTCTCTTGACAATGGTGTATTTATTTTGTATAATGTAAATGCAAGATTTTTGGATTCTGCATAGATAAAATGGAAGAAGACATATCTACATGTTTTCTGTATAATGGAGAGCAAGAAGTTAACTCAATATGGAAATGATAGATTTCTGTCAGACATGTTTATACTGCCATCAACTATGGAAAGAAAACATATGGCAAAATCCTAGGTACTTTATTCATATGATTTGCATCACGTGACTTTGGCCCTTTTGATTAAATTACTTCCCTTAGTTGAAGATTGAAAATATAAATTATATCAAATTTGCAGATATTCCAGTCTTATTCCGTTTTGGATCTAAAACATACGTGTCTATGAAAACTTCCTTTGGCGGATATTTACAAATATTTTGTGTATTTTGAAGGACAAATGATTAAAATTTGACTATTTACGGAATGGGAAGGATGAAATGATTATGTTTTTAAAAGAATTTGGCCAAAAACTTAAGACAGCAGGTGAGATAAAAGTTATTTAACCTGAAAATTCAACCTGCAAGGTGTTTCCCTATATGCGGACAAATCATGAACAATGCCTTCTTGTATCTTTGTTTCTATTTTGAATCTTGCTTTTTCACGAAAAATCGTTATTTTAGATAGCAATTATACTACGGTTAAGCTTCCGATTTTCAAACTCAAAAGGCCGAAAGTTGTGAAAGTAGACAATGTTCAATTGTACACGACCAGAAGGCAAACAACATGTACAATTCACCTATATGCGGACAAATTGTTGATTCGACTTGGGAACTGGCATATTTGCATTTTATTTTAGGGGCATATATAATCCTATTGTAATGGCTGCCGTCATAATAAGGCAATATGGCCGCTATGCAAATTAGCAAAGTACCCCAAATTTTGCCATATGAGATTTCTGTTGAGTCAGACTTGTTTATACTGCCATCAACTATGGAAAGAAAAGGTTTTTTTTCAATATTTAAATTCAAAAACAAATAACAGAAAAGTAGACTTTAATTCTTTTAAATTTCATTTTAAAACTATTCAAAATAATTTGTATAAACTTTGGACTCATTTTCTCTTTGGGAGACATAGATCCAATACAATGTCAAAATTGGTTTTAAAAAATCAAATAAAATGTCTAATACTCAATAATCCAGGACCTGAGATGAACAAATATATGATAGGTAATATCTACTATAAATAAATCTGTCAAACAGAAATAACCTTGAAGTGATATTATACTTGGCAATAAACTCTTCACAAGAAGTATTTCCTTCAAAAACAAAGCAACTTTTTCTACAGATTTTGGATATAAAAACATTGTAAATACTGGAGACCATGCAGTGACTTCAGATACTAAATGATGTTTTACTTTGAGTGAGATGTCTTATGCATATTCAACAATATATAGTTCCCAGTTATTACTCCATTAATCCTCTAAAATTAAATAGAAATGACATGAGAAAATGATGTGGAATATATATAAATGTGACAGCAAGCAACCCAACAAAACTAAACATTAAAAACATTTAAGATTCAACATACAATAGACAGGTGTCTTTACAATATATCAAGTAAGTCTTGAAAAGTGGTAAATTCATACAAAAAGTTTGCGATCTTTCCAAACAAGAAAATTGATAGTGGCTACAAAATCAATACATTTTAGAAAAAGGCGAAAGATACCAGAGGGACATTCAAACTCATAAGTCGAAAATAAACTGACAACTGACAACGCCATGGCTAAAAAAGAAAAGTCCAACAGACAAACAATAGTACACAAAACACAACATAGAAAAACTAAAGACTGAGCAACACAAACCCGACCAAAAACTGGGCGTGATCTCAGGTGCTCCGAAAGGGTAAGCAGATCCTGCTCCACATGTGGCACCCATAGTGTTGCTCAAGTTAGTACAAACCCGGTAATAAGTCTAATTCGGCAGTAGGTCACATTCGGGAAAAGGGGGACAGGATTGTGGTTATGACATTAGGAACATATCCGCTATCATCTGTGAAACGGATATTCCATAATGGTCAACCAACTTGTGATGGCGTCCATAAACCTTATGAAGGGATGACCTTAACTTCACCACTTAGGCTTACTTATATACAAACTATAACATGTACTTTGATATATATATATCTATACATTTTAGGCTTACTTATATACAAACTATAACATGTACTTTGATATATATTTCAAGTGTATTAACTAACTGTCAGATAAAATTTTTACTTACATATTTACAATAAATGGATGAGATATTTGAGCAAGAATTTCTTTTTCATTTTTTACATGTTCGATCTGTTTTAATCGTATAACTTCTGTGATTCGCATCATTTTTAAAGCAAAGTAATCCTTGTTTTCTTTATGCCTAGTCAGCACCACTCGTCCAAAGGTACCAGTTCCTGTAAAATAAAAAAGAGTAAGATACCAAAGGGACATTCATCCTCAGAAGTCGAAACAATCTAACAACGCCATAGAAAATAACATGAATAACAAAAGACGACCAAAACTTAAAACAATTCTATGATTTATATAACTGATTCTTAGAGTGTAGATTTTATACACATTTCATGCCTACCCTTTCTCATGCAGCCACTGTCACTCATAGATGTTCCGATTCATTGAAAATTTTATACTAAGTTTACTCAACATAATTACATTTCCCCTCAATGTAGCCTCTGGTTATCATCAATTAATCCCAGATGGTAACTGGTAGAAAGTCTATATATAATTCATTATACCTTTATCTAACTACACTCCCCCTCAATGCCACATCTGATCAATTTAGAGATAACTGTATTGTATTTGAAGCTTTGAGGACGTCCATCGGTAGTTTTACTGTCTCAAATTTAGTTTACCTGGTGACGGTAGTGGAGACAGGTAAACGGTTATTTGCCACAGTAAAACTACCGATGGACGTCCGCAAAGCTTCAAATACAATACAGTTATCTCTATTCTAATGCAAAATAAACAATTCATTCAATTTTAGTCATTATTATAGTGTAAATTTTCATTAAACGAAAATTCCGCGAAATAATGTTATCTTCTTTGGCACCTAAACTAGGTGACGTCATAAGTATGCTTCCGGCATCAAACGTAAACACCAGGCACTTTCTGGTTTCTTGTCCGCTTCAGAATGTAATAAAATTTGATAAAAAGAAGATTTCTAGGTGCAAAATGTGAGTTTTTTTGCTTATTATTGGAGAAATTACATGTCAATACATTCCAGAATTCAAAATGTTGGTTTCCTTAGTTACAGACAGAAGATTGAGAATTTTACGTTTATTGTCATCCAATCAGAACCATTGATACAAAATAATTGCATAAGGAATATTAATTATAGATGGCCACTCAAAGATACAAGATGTTTATATTTTACAGAGGGCAGAGCTTTGGTTAAAGTGATTACAATTACCTAAACCTAACTTGGTCTCTATATGTCTGGACTAGAGACACCCACTGGAAGACAATTAATGATATAATTATGTCAATGGCCTAAACACATGTTGACTAAGTGGTCTCTATATGTCTAGACTAGAGACACCCACTGGCAGACAATTAATGATATAATTATGTCAATAGTACAAACACATGTTGACTAAGTGGTCTCTATATGTCTGGACTAGAGACACACACTGGCAGATAGTTAATGATATTATTATGTCAATAGTCCAAACACATGTTGACTTACTTGGTCTCTATATGTCTGGACTACAGACACGCACTGGCAGACAATTAATGATATAATGATGTCAATAGTCTAAACACATGTTGACTAAGTGGTCTCTATATGTCTGGACTAGAGACACACATTGATAGACAAATAATGGTATAATTAATATTATGTCAATAGTCTAAACACATGTTGACTAAGTGGTCTCTATATGCCTGGACTAGAGACACACACACTGGCAGACAATTAATGATAAAATTATGTCAATAGTCTAAACACATGTTGACTAAGTGGTCTCTATATGCCTTCTGTATTTGTGTCATTGGGTTGCCTCTTATCTAAGTTTATCCCATATCTCCTTTTAGTCATTTCTACATACAACTCTATAACTCTACAGAACCTCTGAAAACTATGACTCATTGGCGGTCATTTGTGTATGAATCTATTTATAATTCAGTGATCTTTCCAACATACCTACTACAGGGTCATTTTCTCCCAATTAACAACAGACAACTATATTATTAGAAGTATCTTATAATGCATCACTTCAGGGCACTGATCTAGATAGAAACTATCGTTTGCAAGCTGTTAAACCACTTACTGTATTCATATACAAACCAAAAAGTAAACATTTCAATATTTATTATTGGCAGCATCAAAACTGATTTGATTATTAAGGATTTAAAGGACCTGAGATTATTATGTTACATTTTGGTCTCAAATGTTATTGTTCATTTGACATATATATATATATCTATCTATTTTCACCTTTATACCATTATAAAACATTGATACCATTATAGAACAGATAGTAATACTGTGTATGAAAGCAAACAAATTGTAGAATTAGTACATCAACTATCAGTATGATTTTTAAAGCAAAATTGACTATAAAAACTAACAATTTATTAATTCATATTAATTTAAAATTTCTAGATAATTGAGAAAAAAAATGGCAATAAACTGTAACTTATCAGAAACATATATATACATGTATATATTAATCATGAATTCACCCAATTTGAAAACTGAAAGAATCTTAAGTAGAGTACTGAAGCTGTAACCATTTAAAAGATATTCTTAATTGCTGTTTTTTTTTTATCATATATACATGTGTACAGTTAAAATCATAAAAATTCAATTAAAGTCTCTGTGTAAATAATGACAATTCACAAAATTCCCATTTAACTAATTATAGTTTCCTCCAAATGGATACTAAAAGTTCAGTATTTCCCATCCAGTATGTCCTATCCAAGATCTTTATATTTGTATAGCACTAACACAAAAAAGTCTTCTGTATTGTAAAGAGTGTCTTTTATGAAATGTGACTCCTGTATAGTATAGAGTGTCTTTTATGAAATGTGACTTCTGTATTGTTAAGGTGTCTTTTATGAAATGTGACTCCTGTATAGTATAGAGTGTCTTTTATGAAATGTGACTCCTGTATAGTATAGAGTGTCTTTTATGAAATGTGACTCCTGTATAGTATAGAGTGTCTTTTATGAAATGTGACTTCTGTATTGTTAAGGTGTCTTTTATGAAATGTGACTTCTGTATTGTACAGAGTGTCTTTTATGAAATGTGACTCCTGTATAGTATAGAGTGTCTTTTATGAAATGTGACTTCTGTATTGTTAAGAGGGTCTTTTATGAAATGTGACTTCTGTATTGTAAAAAGTTTCTTTTATGAAATGTGACTTCTGTATTGTAAAGAGTGTCTTTTATGAAATGTGACTCCTGTATAGTATAGAGTGTCTTTTATGAAATGTGACTTCTGTATTGTACAGAGTGTCTTTTATGAAATGCGACTTCTGTTTTGTAAAGAGGGTCTTTTCTGAAATGTGACTTCTGTATTGTAAAGAGTGTCTTTTATGAAATGTGACTTCTGTATTGTAAAGAGTGTCTTTTATGAAATGTGACTTCTGTATAGTATAGAGTGTCTTTTATGAAATGTGACTTCTGTATTGTTAAGAGTGTCTTTTATGAAATGTGACTTCTGTATTGTAAAGAGGGTCTTTTCTGAAATGTGACTTCTGTATTGTAAAGAGTGTCTTTTATGAAATGTGACTTCTGTATTGTAAAGAGTGTCTTTAATGAAATGTGACTTCTGTATTGTTAAGAGTGTCTTTTATGAAATGTGACTTCTGTATTGTAAAGAGTGTCTTTTATGAAATGTGACTTCTGTATTGTTAAGGTGTCTTTTATGAAATGTGACTTCTGTATTGTATAGAGTGTCTTTTATGAAATGTGACTACTGTATTGTACAGAGGGTCTTTTATGAAATGTGACTCCTGTATAGTATAGAGTGTCTTTTATGAAATGTGACTACTGTATTGTACAGAGTGTCTTTTATGAAATGTGACTTCTGTATAGTATAGAGTGTCTTTTATGAAATGTGACTCCTGTATAGTATAGAGTGTCTTTAATGAAATGTGACTACTGTATTGTACAGAGTGTCTTTTATGAAATGTGACTTCTGTATTGTTAAGGTGTCTTTTATGAAATGTGACTTCTGTATAGTATAGAGTGTCTTTTTTATGAAATGTGACTTCTGTATTGTTAAAGAGTGTCTTTTATGAAATGTGACTTCTGTATTGTAAAGAGTGTCTTTTATGAAATGTGACTTCTGTATAGTATAGAGTGTCTTTAATGAAATGTGACTACTGTATTGTACAGAGTGTCTTTTATGAAATGTGACTTCTGTATTGTTAAGAGGGTCTTTTATGAAATGTGACTTCTGTATTGTAAAAAGTTTCTTTTATGAAATGTGACTTCTGTATTGTAAAGAGTTTCTTTTATGAAATGTGACTTCTGTATTGTAAAGAGTGTCTTTTATGAAATGTGACTCCTGTATAGTATAGAGTGTCTTTTATGAAATGTGACTACTGTATTGTACAGAGTGTCTTTTATGAAATGTGACTTCTGTATTGTTAAGAGTGTCTTTTATGAAATGTGACTTCTGTATTGTAAAAAGTTTCTTTTATGAAATGTGACTCCTGTATAGTATAGAGTGTCTTTTATGAAATGTGACTACTGTATTGTACAGAGTGTCTTTTATGAAATGTGACTTCTGTATTGTTAAGAGGGTCTTTTATGAAATGTGACTTCTGTATTGTAAAAAGTTTCTTTTATGAAATGTGACTTCTGTATTGTAAAGAGTTTCTTTTATGAAATGTGACTTCTGTATTGTATAGAGTGTCTTTTATGAAATGTGACTACTGTATTGTATAGAGTGTCTTTTATGAAATGTGACTTCTGTATTGTTAAGAGGGTCTTTTATGAAATGTGACTTCTGTATTGTAAAAAGTTTCTTTTATGAAAAATGACTTCTGTATTGTAAAGAGTTTCTTTTATGAAATGTGACTCCTGTATAGTATAGAGTGTCTTTTTTATGAAATGTGACTTCTGTATTGTTAAAGAGTGTCTTTTATGAAATGTGACTTCTGTATTGTAAAGAGTGTCTTTTATGAAATGTGACTTCTGTATTGTAAAGAGTGTCTTTAATGAAATGTGACTTCTGTATTGTAAAGAGTGTCTTTTATGAAATGTGACTTCTGTATTGTTAAGAGGGTCTTTTATGAAATGTGACTTCTGTATTGTAAAAAGTTTCTTTTATGAAATGTGACTTCTGTATTGTAAAGAGTTTCTTTTATGAAATGTGACTTCTGTATTGTATAGAGTGTCTTTTATGAAATGTGACTACTGTATTGTATAGAGTGTCTTTTATGAA